GAGGCTGGGGTGGTGCTCTGAAGTGCTCTTAACTTGTGAGAGGCAGAGCACTCAACCAAGCAAATCATTTAGAGTTGCACTGGGGTCAATGTTTTAATTAAGCATTGTTTTTAAATATTTTGCTGGATCAGTATCAAACTTACCCACACCTGGATGAATCATGCCTCAGGAAAAGACTGCAGCATTCTCTCTTCTAGTACTATAAGTCTAACTAGCACAATACATCAGGCATATGTCAGTCTTGCTGACAATAATAATTTCTGTGTAACAGGTTTTTTGTAGTAGTAAAAATATATTCTACTCAATCTAAGATCTTGCTTACTTGCTGATGTTTCAAAATATTTTTAATACATTTTAAAAGCTGAGAACCTTCAATAGAGAATTTTTTCGTATGAAACTAAATTGACATTTGATTCCTTTGACCACTTGCAAACTCTGTAAAATTTTCTTCCAAACAAGCTGTACTCTCTCTTTCTTAAAAACAAGATGTACTTCATTTTATCATAATTTTAGTAGCAACTTGTACTATTTTTCATGCTTATACTGACCACATTCCAGCATGAAGCTATCCATACTGGATACTACAAGTGACAGTCCTGAGTACTGGAGTATGTCTGAGGTTTTATAAATACCAATTTATATTTGTTGGCATTTAAATTTCTCAGTTGATTTACAATGTTAATTCTGTTAGGTTAATTACTCTAAAGGCTGAATTTTCTTGAGATATGTTGTGAAAGCAATTTCATTTATTTATACTTTTATGTCACATGGCTAACTGTTCATACAACCCATGTTTACAGTTGTGTACCATCTAGCCTTTTGCCACTGGGTGACAGCCAAAGCATGAAAACAAAAGCCCTATTCAGGAAAAGAATTCTCTGCACTGGTATATGAATATCAAGTGAATTATGCAAATCAGAACAGGAGGAGCTTAATAAAACTCTCTTTCTGACCTTCCTTATGTATAAGGAGGGAAATATGCCGAGAATCTTGAAGTAAATACCCCTGTAAGGGAACAGTAAGCACAGTAAATGCCGACCACAACATTTAACTGGAACACCTAATCATAAAACTCAAGGATGCTTCTAAGTTGTACAAATCTACATCACAAAATGAAAAAAGAGAGCATCAATTCTCTCAGCAAAAAGACAGTCTTTTTCTTTGGTTTTGCAAAGGAATAAGAGTGGAGAAAAGGGTCCAAAAAAAGTCTGAGTTTGTAAAAGGAATGATGGAAAGGGACAAAACAGATAAAATACACATAATACTCTATTCTAAAAATTTTCAAACTATTTTTCATGACAGCAAATATGCACATTTCCTTTCAGAATTACTTTCTCTAATTTAGGCTATTATTTATGATTTGAGAACAGATATAAAAGGAGAAGGCAAAACAGGTACCTATCATAGAGCACTTTAAAATGTTGCTCTGTAACTCTGAATTTCAACTTTACTAAAAATCGATTTACTAAAGGTTTACCTGATTTCCCCCAAAATGCAAAAGCTTTTCATTCTATATATTTCCTTAATGATTTTTAAAATATATATAGCACATTTTACAGTAGGATGTAACTAAGCCACACAGCCCTTTACAAAAAGTAAAATATCCTTTTAAGTCAGATTAAAATTAACTATATTTGTGCCAGAATTACTAAAAAAATTTTCATTTCAATATTTAGACTGCTATGAATATGAATAGCTTACATCATATTTTCAGGTTCTGTTGCACAAGCTCCCACTGCTTTGGTGACGTTCACAAGTAGTGCAGGATCAGTTCCAGTAAGGAACTTCACTAGAGGTGGTATTCCACCACATTTACGGATAGTAATTCGATTTATTGGCTCTTGGCAACATTCTCCCAGTGCTCCAATGGTATTTACAAGGACTTCTTCAGGCTGATCAGTAAGCAGTCCTACCAAAGCTTCTATGACTTTATATTCCCGAAATCTACAGGACAGCAATAAAACCAAAGTTGTAATTTTCAGTATGTTACTATTATAAGTTTAGTTTTACAATTAAAGTATCATTATAATTTAAATACAATGTTTAATTTCCGTACATAAATTGAAGAAATCACAATACAGGTGAACCATTCCAATCAGTACTTGAAAGTGTGACATACAGCATAATTTCTTACTCTACCTTTCTGAATACATTTCTCTAATTTAGCTATTTAGGAATCTGCAGAGTAGTTTGAGGGGTTTTTAAAACTTGACATCTACAAATACCTGAAAACACACTGGAAGGCTGGCAAGTACTGTGGAATCCTAACTTCCAGTACTTCTTCCTGCTATGTTAACAATAGCTAGAGAAGTAGTGTACCAGACCCTCCTCCACCTCTCTGGACCAAAGAATCACATTTTCCACTAAATGTTAGCCTTTAGAGAGTTTGCCCTGACCAGTTCTATACTTAGTTCAGGCCTAATACATGCATTTTCCAAAGGCCAGACCTATAGTTCTAGTACGCTTCTATTGTACTATGTTAGATTCCATTTTGAAATTAAGAAGTTGACAGAAATTTGAGATGACTGCTATATTAATACTGCCTTCACTCTTTATAGCGCTTTTGGCACTGAAATCAAAAATATGTTTTTAAAAATCCTGGAAGTCCTATCCTACAAACAGATACATGCTAAAGCTCAGAAGTTCATCTTCCAGAACAGGACTTTATTCCTGAGTACTGGTGTCATCTTCTAAGTTCATTTTGTTCAGAACTTAGATGATTCTTAACACTTAACAAATACTATATCTCCCTTTCATTTTCTAAGATACGCCTTGACAACTCCACTTGGTCTATCAACCTAGGTCTAACCTGTATGTTACCTAATAATTATGCTTTGATTTATACCTTTGTGTAAATACACATAGTTCCTCCCCTAAACAGGTAATTTCTCTGAGGTTACAGAGTTCTCGTTTGTGCTTCCCCCATGGTCCCTAGCTTCTGGAAGTGTCTCCTTGAGCTACAGATACCCTGAATTTTCCAGGAATCAGTTATACACGTGGCTTTTGTTTCATACCAAAAAAATCCAGTATTTTTGAGATTTTGATGACAGAACTAGAATTGTTTCAATAAAAATTAATCTTTCCAAGATGTTTTATCAGTATAACAATTAAAGTAACTGAGAAACTACAAACTTCTGGTTTTCATCATTCAAGCATTTTCTTAAAGAGGAATCTTCCTCTTTGTTCACTATAGTTTGGAAGTATCCCTATAATTTGTTTTTCAAGAGAAAACATCAACAGCATGAAAAAAGCGCAATAAAGCAAGCAAACAAAACCTTGATTTTCTCTGGCTACTTTATCTGTGTTGCCTATCAACTGCTTCACAGATGGAACGACATGAGCTGGTCTGCAATGGGCAGGCTACACTCTGACAGAGCTGTTGGCTCGGGCCATCTTGTGTTCAAAAGCAGTACGGCTGCTTGCACGCATACTGGAATCTGCTTGCACGCAAACTGGAATCTGAGGCAGTCAGGCCCAGGCACCTGTACCAGCTCATTGCTGAGTCAGCACAACACCTCAGCAGTGTACTTCAGGTATAGGAAATACCGTGGGGTAGTTTGAAGTTAAAAGTGGCCCTGCAGGAACCAGCAGGGTTTGTTACCTCTAGCTTCATGCCAGACTCAAGCTCATCCCTCCAGATCTACTGATGTGTTTTCATATAATCCTCCCTCCCTGTTCTGCAGTGCCCTCCCATCTTGAGTTTGGATAGGGTTTACTGCTTCAGACTCAGCACTACATAATACATGAATTCAGCTCAAGCCTGGAGCTGCACCTGGCTAGCAACCTACGTGGAGCATTGAGCACTTGTCAAAGATATGCAAGTAGCCCAGCAAAAACCTGTTTGCATTTGGACAGAATTGTTTGCTACAGCTAGATGATAAATAAAACAGGCAAGGGCTCATTCTCTAGCCCTGAGGACACGATGCACAACATAGCATCCATATGGCTAAAATCTCTTATCCTCACAACTGAGGGTGGCCTCACCCATTCTGCTTAATGGAAACAATCTGTTGCGTGCACTGTTCCCAAGGAGTGTCTGGGCATTGTCTGGGATAGCGCTTGCTGGCACAGGCCAAACTGTGTAAGAGACTGCGCTAGCAGTTAAATAGTATGGGTAATCACAACATTGTGCCTGAGCTCTGAAAGGTTTGGCCCTGTTTAGTTTACTAGTATAGAGAGAGCCTTTCAGTCCATCTCATCACTGCTTGATCCAGAACCAGGATGTCTCTGTGTAGATACCCAAAGCCCACAAAAAAGAAGGATATGCCCTTCTGAAAAGTCAGGCTACTGTGCAATCAAGAATGCAAAGAGCAGTAGGACAGCAGTAGAGCATGTGAAGACCATGGCTCTGTATACCAACAGTTTGGGAACTCATTTAGGACAGTAAAAAGCCAGACTGTAAACCCTTATTGCTGCAATTCTTTCTGATTTTGATCCAGCAGTTATCTATCATATCTGTTTGTCCAGTAAAGTAGACTAAAATTAGGGCTGCAGGAAGAGGTTACCTCTTACTGATACTTCTTCCAGCCTATGAATCCTACATTCCTCTGTACAGAGCGGCATAACTTCAGCAGGAAACCTAGCACATAGTCCAATGAAGCAAGCTTTTTTTTGAGGTAAGGTGCATGAATCTGATAAAGGAATTTCAGATGAGGAGGTTGAGTATTCTCAGTCATTAAGCTTTTCCATGAAAGGTGGAGGGTGATTTGCTGGTGTCAAATTCTCAGATAATCACTCAGGACGCTGATACTGCGAGGTTGCAGGTACCTATGGTAGGATTATCGTAATTTAATTCCACTCATTTAGAAGCTGGGTGTCCAGACTAAGCTACTTTTCTGAGCCCCTTCTGTAGTCAAGGAGAGAGGCATCTAGGCTAATTATCCTAGAATACAGTATATTTCTAAAGTAGGTGGACCTAATGTGTATTAGATATCCACCCTAGAAATGTTAAAGCTAAGTGTGCTGATGACTCTCTACCATGCAGCAGCAACTCCAATTTGTAAGTTACAGAGACGAGTGGGGAATATCAGATATGCCCACATGCCAAATGCTTAGTATGTGCTAGTGCATCTCCTGACTCGGTGTACTATGTCATAACTATTCTTTAGATGCATCAATTGTCCCCATTGACTCTTAAGTCTAATGAACTTAACATTGTTTCCACTGTACCCTGATGAGCTCAAGAGGCAATTTTTTAAGTACTATAAAACCTAAGTTGAAAGCCCAACTGATTATAAACTATGGTTTTGAAGAATAATGACATAACAATTTTGAAAACAAGAGGCACATAAAATCAAAACACAGTAATGTAATAAATATTTGTAAAATCAAATCGTTACTTTGACACATTTTCTCCACTGATTGCACATTTCCAGATTGCTCCTGTCACAGCTGCTAAAAGTTGTTTGTTTTCAGAGTTACCAAGCAGAACAGACAGCGGTTGTAGACCTCCATGCTGCCTAACCAGGTCACGCGTTTCTTTATCTTCTGCACACTGTACAAAAAAAAAAATAATATAAATGTGATGTGTAAAATGATGTCTTCAAAAGCTGTGTGTATTATGTTGTAACTAGTAAAAGCTAATACAGAAGAAGACACAAATATTTTATTAAAGTATCTGAATATGCTAACAACTCACCAAGAGTTTGACAGTAAACCACTACTGTATGTGCAGCAGTGCTTATACTGTCACACTGTCCACTTTGGGGGTAAACAAACATAAAAAACCAAAGCAGCTCTTTGCACAGTATGTCCCACCACTCTGCATTGGTCACCTGTGCAATTTAGGGCTTGCACACAACACGAGCAAGTAGGAACTTAATTTCAATATTAAATATGCAGTTAAAATATTCACATAAGAATTATCCAAAGACCATCAACATTTTTATAAAGTAATTACTTACACATTAGTGAAATTGTAAAACTAAGAAATACGAAAACTGACAACCAGATGAAAACAAAGGGCTAATCCTGGCTCTGATCTACTTATTATAATAATACAATTACCTTAAATATGGTACTTGCACAATGCATCTGAAGCTCCTCATGTTCACTACTTAGATTTTTCACAAAGTTCTCAATCATTCCTTCCGTCCTTATTGCAAGTCTGTAACTTGGCTAAAATGATAAACTGCATCTTTTAAATCCTGTATATTAACAGTTAATAACAGTAGTCACAACAATAATACAGTCCTACAATTCCAGGGTTTGATATTGAGAAGCCTTGTACTTTAGCTTAAGCACGAGCCAGCTGCACTGCTTTGAAAGTACTACTGATGATCTCAAAGTTAATCAAATACATATATTCTCTGCAGTGCTCTCCAAATCACCCGTAAAACTAGGTGTTGCAATGCCTCTTTTGTAGCCACCTGGCTTAAACAGTCTGGTGTCCAGACTCCCTGTTCAGAGCCAAGGAAGAAAAAGATGCTTCAGAATGTGATCAAGAAGAACCCACTCATTTCATTGAGAGCCAGCAGCCAAAGCAACAGATCTATTCCTAGAACAAGCTTAGAAAAACATGTTTTTAGAATTAAAAAAATTTAGTGATCCTTTTGTCCAAATTTTAACCCATAGGTATTGTAACAGGGGACCATTATTTAAGAGAGGGGAAATGTGTGTTAGAGGTGCATTTAGTGTTACCTCCAAATCTGGCCAGATAAGAAACCCTCAGAAACTTCACCTTCTCAATATAGACTTACTGAAGCTAAAATCTGCCAGGCTGTCGTTTCATGGAGCATACACAAACTTGTGTAGTTCAAGAAGGTAATTTTGAAAATACACGTGGTTTATAATGTAAAATTTTCTGAAAAATTATCTTTCATGTCTCAAACTCACCCAGAGACCTTATGTATATTTTTGTCCTTAAGTGCAATGCACCTTAATTTCAAATATAATTCCATAAATGGAGAAATAACCACTCATATGACAATGGTAAAAAATAATTGTATTAAAATTTTAGAAATGAACATACTCAAAGCTGTGAAACCTGACAAGGAAATATGTAGAAAAATCATATATATTTCTTTCTTCTTTTTACAACCAGACACTGTCTTACCCAGTTCACAAGGACACTGTAAACTGAACTGCCCTGCACTGCATTGGATCTTATTGGCCACACCTGCAGGTTAGCTTTGCAGAATTTAAATGTGCTGATTAGCAGAATATAGCATCTTAAGTTGCTAAATTTGTCAAGTACGATGAAAAAAATGAGGAAAAAAATGAAACTGATTAAGGATTTCATTTCTATATATTTTATTTCATGAACCACTCCTAGCCTTTTAAATAAAAAAATATGTGGTCTTGACTTCATTACAAGCTGTGCTTTCTCAAAAACACTCTGACCACACAAAGCATCTCCTTCCTGACAGAATAACTGTGCTGGTTTAAGTGACAGTCAAACGTAATGCTTCCCTTTACCAGCCAATTGTTTGAATGATTAGGAATAACTTAGCTATATGCGTTTACTTACCTCTGAGGCACATTCTTGTAGTGTCCCCACTACTGGAGTTAAGATGTTTGCATGTGAACATTTGAGCCATCTAGCTAATAATGGAATGCCACCAGCTTTACGGATTGCTTCTTTATTTTTGGTGCTTTTGCTGCAGCTCCAGAGTGCCAAAGCCCCACAGCGTGCTATTTCAGTATCTTTTGCTTGGTATGGCGTTAGATTGGTTGACTCCACTGAAACACGTTCCAACAGCCCAACCTAAAAAACCATTTTTTTAATTATCTAAAGGGAAGTTTGATATTACACCACTTTTTAATGACGGTAAAAACTACCCCAAGAATCATGTATACAACATATGACATACATATTTTTTTGGACAAAAATATGCATATGACAATGGTACAAATTTTAATGTCTGCTTACCAATCTCTTGATTCCTCCATGCTGCCTTACTGTCCTTCGTGCTTGTTTAAATCTAGCAACATTAGCAATTGTTTCAGCTGCCAAACTTTTTAGTTCTTTATCTGGAGAGTCCAGTATTTTCACCATGAGCTGTAAGCCCCCAAGATCTGCAATTGCATGTCTGATCAGTATATTTTGACTAATTTCCTTCAGGATTTTTAATGAACCAATCTAAATAATGGAAGATAACAGAAATTAAACATTATTTGAGTATACACAAACAGAAAAAAAATATTTTAAATGCTAGGTTATCTAAAACACTTTATCTTTTAAATTGAATCAAAAGAAAAGAAGGAAAAGGAAGGTCAAAGAAATTGCTTTTTTCTAAAATACCCTTGAAATTGAGAAAATACAGAAATGAGAAAATAATTTTCTTTATTCTATATAACTTTGAAAATTGAAAAAATATTATAATAGAAAAGGCATACACCTTGTTCTGTTCAACAAAACTACTTACCTGACATTTAATTTCTTCTGTATCAAGTAAATTAATTAACACTTCAAGACATCCCATGTCTCTGATGGCCAGCTGACAAGTTTCTTGAGCCAGATTGAAATCTCTCATTGAACACAATGCAATTACAGTTGCTGTTGGATTACCTCCCTAAAATAAAGCAAATAATTAACAAATGTGTAAAGTGCATTTAATAGAAAACTTAATATTTTCTACTAGTACTAGTAAAGCTATGACTAAAGAAGAAACATGTTAGATTATTTTGATTCTATGGTGTTAAATAATACGGACATAGTAAGAAGTGGAATTATTGATAAAGTCTGCAGATGGCGAGAGTGAATAGCACAGGTGACAAATGACTAATATAGCTTGCTGTGAATGGACGAGTAAATTAAGCAGTCAAGCACTGAGTTTTGTATGAGTGTTTGCAGATAGCAATAGAACATACAGTGAAGATACATTTCAGAGGAGCTATCTGCATTCTTTGCATTGGTATTCACTCTGGAAGAAACCAAAGGGATTCCAATGGGAATCTTCCATTGTGGACATTTCGGAGGATTTTTCTGAAACTGAAGCCATTGTAGAAAATTTTTATAAAAAATCCTGACATTGTGACCAATAACAAATTGCCATTATTAGATAGCATTCAACTGAGTCACAAAGGAAATGGGGTAAAATCACTGATTCAGTTGTCGTGGCATGTATCCTCTCGCTTCAAACTGCCTTGTTACCAATATCCTGGGAAACAACAACTTTGACAAGAGTTCAAGGACTATCCAAGGCCTTTTAGCTAAATAGCTGTGCTGGACAAATTGGTAGACTGTAATAAAGAACAGAACTAGCAGACATCTGTCTAAATATGATATTCTTGCACCAATATTATATACCTAGAGTCACCATGGGTCTGTTAAGAGAAGTCTTACGTTACAAAACTTATCAAGCTTGAGGCAATGGTGATGTAGTTGATACGTCTAACTGGATTCCATAAGGATTTTGACAAAGTCCCTCCCTGATAGCTTTGAAAGAAACTCAGCCACTATAAGAGGAAAGGTCATTGCATGGATTGAAAAGAATGACTAAAGCATAGGAAACTGAGGACAGGAGCAAATAGTCAGTTCAATAAAGGGATGTGATTTAGTGGAGTTCCACAGCTCTGTGCTGAAGTTATGCAATTCAACACACTTGTAAACACCCTGAAAAATGGAAGGGCTAGTTATGTGACAAAGTTTGTTGATGATACTATGATTCAAGTTGTGACAAACTGCTAAAGAACTTACCAAGACTAAGAGGGCAATAAAACAGCAAATGAGAAAATGGGAAGTGATGCAAATCAGAAAAATCAATCCTAACTCCATAGATGAAATGATGGTTCTTTAGTTGACCGTTAAAAATCAGAAATGGTTACTTGAGGTTAGGGTAGATGGCAACCAAAAAACAAATGGAATATTAGGACATATTTGGAAAAAACAGTGAACAGAGAAGATCACTGTACCACAGTATAAATCCATGGTTCACACATACTTTAAAAACTTCATGCAGCTCTGCAGCCTCAGTTTCAGGAAGGTTACTATAGCACAAGAAAACTTTCAGAGAAGAGCAGCAAAGATAATCCAAAGCTTTTTTAGTCTAGAAATGGGATACGATATAGATCTACAATGTTAGGGATGGCACTGACCACGACAGAGAGGGACTGACTGTCCTATGTCTCTTTTAATACAGATATAAACTCTTTTAACAATGAGGTATAATAGGTTTCAAGTTAAAAATAAATAAAGGGAGTTGGTTCTTCAAATAAGGTAACAGAATAGTGGAATTAGATGTGAAAGGATTCTATGAAAGTTAAAATTTTCATTGAAAGTCAGTAAAAACATAAATATGTCATTCAATTTTCAGCTCCCAGAGACAAAACCAAGTGGCAGCTTGGAGAGTATTAGAAAGCTGTGTGTTTGCCCTGTTCTTACTTCATCCTGGGGTTTCATTTATGGTCCTGGGTCTCTTCTGCCTTGGTAGTTTACGAACAGAGTTTCACACTACTGTAAGTTATACAGTCAAGTTCCCCACATTTGTGGAAATCAGAGGTCAGGACATCTGGAGTGAAAAACACGAGCTTTAACCACAGAAAACTTCCATCCCAATCATTGTGTCTCTCCTCATGTTGCAGTCAGGTTATCAGGATACACTGTCTTTTGATCTGCCCAATGCAGTTTCTTTAGGTCTAAATTTAAGGTCATACAATTACAAATAATGAAGATAGGACATACCTCAACATAGGAGTTCAATTCTAGAAACTAGAGCATATAAAACACTTGGGATGTTAAATATGAATTTGAAATTAGAGTATAATGTTTGATTAAAAGGATGAATTTTGGGATGTATAATTGAAAGTACTGGATAGGAACATAGGTATTATCTCTTTTTAGGCACTTGTGCAACTGCTACTGAAATTCTGTGTCTAATTTTCCATTTTACAGTTCTAGAATGAAAATGAAAACAGGGAGATGATTCAGAGAAGAGAAATAAAAATGTTTGTAAGCCCGGAAAATAGTTGTATTAAGACAGACATGAGAAGCACTATTTAGTTTATTAAAAAGTAAATTAGGATACAATTTATTCATAGCGAATAAATAAATCTATGAGGAACAGGAACATGATCACAGAGAGCTCTACAGACTAGCACGGAGGTTTGACGACTTGAAGTTAAAGGTACGAAAATTTAGATGAGGAGTAAAGTGCAAGTCTTCCACTGTGTGGTTAATTATCCTTTGGAAGAAATTACTTATTGTGATGAGAAGTTCTCAAGCAGTGGAAATTTTTCACTCAAAATTGGAAATTTTTCTAAAAGATAAGCTGTATTTCAGTCACAGCTACTAGACTAAAAGCAAGAAAAAGATGAAAGAATACACCCTATGGGAGGCAGAAAGTTAAACCATATGATAACAATGGATTCTTTTGAACCTATAATATAGATTTACTATTAATCAAATCAGGGATGAACCCAGTTACACAGAAATTAGGAGGGCTGAGCTACCATGTGGCTGCAACAGAAGCTGGAGTGCAGGAGCAATGCCAACTGGTGCTAATGTGGAAGTTACAACTTAGAGCACCTAGTAAATCAAACTACAGTATCCACCTCCCACATGCCTCTGAATTCCAGGCAAGCTTTGGCTCCCATCCAGATCTAGACTGTGCTGCCCAAGCCCATTGCTTTCAAATGACAGTTGTGAAACTGTAAAGGACTTTGAGCCAGCCCTTTCCAGAGGAAAATATTTTGCTACATCATGCACATCATACTGAAATCAGAATATTGAAAAAGTGAGCACTGTTTGCTAACATGAAACAAGCTGATCTAACAAAACCAGAAATTTTGCAATATATTTCTTAAATGTAAACAGAAACAGTAAGACAAATATAGTAAAAAAAAAGTCTTTAAATTTAACATGCTTTTCAACAGATCCCATAAACGTAGTAGAGAATTGCAAGTGAGAAAATACATCCAAAAGGAACATGAGAAAACTACTTCATAGTTTCAGATCAGTAAGTTACATTAAACACTTCTGCTAATCAATAAAGTGTATGTGGATGGCACTACATAGATAACTTTTACTTAAATTTCTTGTAATAAGAGATATCCAGAGAATTTCCCCACAGAAAACTTGTTAAATATAAAGGTAATTTTTAACACCTGTAACATCTAGTGTTCTAGAGGACGATTCCTACAATATTTTTTGTTATCTTTTTTTAATCATCATTATCATCTTCACTTCAGAAGAAAATGAAATGTGTCTTGCTATAAGAATATATTTTGATCTATTTTTAAAATATGTCCTAGGGAATAAAATATTGTAACAATTTCTGAAATGTTTTCTTAGAGAAATCAGTTTATCCACACATATCAAAGTCTAAATTATTTTAAAAAAAAATAATTAAGATATGATTCCAAAATTACACAGAATATCTGTAGCTCAAAAGGACTAACAGCTGTCCTTTTATGAAGTTTGTGGTCTTTTAATATAGCTTAGACTAAGATTTACTTTGCTTTGTATTATAAAAATTTTGCAACAGGTGTTTAAAGAGAAAAATTTTGTTTTAATGTTTTATATAAATGTAAGAAGTATATCCCTAACCTGAAAAGCAATGTCTCCTCTTTTGAGGACTGCTTCTCCTACAGTGAAACTACATTCATACATAACATAGTAATTCATAATTCACTTATCTTACATGTATAATGGTTGGCATGTGACATTTAATGTGGACCAGGTTTTTTAAAAATAAACAACTTTTAACTCTCTTAAATAAAAAATAGAACTGTATATAAAAAAACGTATACGCATTTTATTTTTTCAGCTTCAAAAATGCACACACCACTTTAAGTGTTTTTAAAGTAAAACCACAATAAAATATTTTTCATATGTGCTGAAGCATCAGTTCTACAAAATAAGAAATACTACTGATGGTTTCAACAATTATTTTTTGTTTCTTGAAGTTATAATTACAGTAAGTCTTGCAGTACTTACAGCATAGATTTTAACATGCATGGAAATAGTTACTTCTCCATTAAGTTGACATAAAATCTGCATCATGTTGTTATACCATTTGAAATCTGATACGTTGGATACAAAATAAACTCTACTGGCAGATCAACAATCAATTTTAAGGCTTGAAATTAAACACAGATTTAGTTTAAAATGTGCCTCTTTTCCTATATAGTGGTATAACATACATCCACCAATTAAATGAAAATTAAAAGTATCACTGCTACACTATCTGTAAGACATCTTCTGTTCAATGTACGTGTAATGTCTCCATTATGATACTCAGAGCTCACAACTAAGAATTACAGAACTATAAAGAATGTGTAGCAAAGCCTGTCTTCCTTTTGCTTTTTTTTTGAGGTGTTTAACAGACCACTTTTATAATACAATAACGCACAGATTAATCTAGTTAAAACTTCTAATGTAAGTATACAATGGCAGCTGTTTTAGACGATGAGAAGATTGTATATAAATTTGGTATCTGTGAATCCAGTCTCACAGATTCAGTCACCACTATACTAGAAACATAATTATTTAGCAATGTTTCTGCAAATGTGACTGCATGCATCTGTTAGTCCATTCTGAATGCACAGCAAGATGAAAGATGCATAACCTTTT